TGTCCACCATCTGCACTCGAAGCCAAAACCAACTCATCATCTGCATCCAAATCCAAATGATCCCCAAACTATGTCACCTCAGCTGGAATCCCAACCAATGCAGTATGATCTGGAGTATAAGAGTAATCTCTACCCAACATAAAGTAGCATCACTCTCCACCCACTGTGATATCATAACAATCTGATCAACATTCTCTACCTGTCGAGAGTCAAATGTGATATATCTACTCAGAACAAAATCAGAGTCTCCTAATTGATAACCAAACGAGCCTCTGAATCTCAAATTTGTCTTGTATTCCTTTGATTTCGATTATAATTTGATTACAAAAGAGAAGAGAACAAATTTGATTCTCTCCTTTGTTTAAAACTGGGTTCTTCTTGGTAGCGATGGAATGCCTCCTTCGATTGCTCGCGTCGAATTTGCTCTCCGTTGACGATCCGACCGTCTTTTATATCGTGGGAACAATGAACTTCTATGGAAAGTTTAATAGATAACTATGAATGAGTTTAAGAACTCTGAACGAGTTAAACTCTGAACGAGTTAAGCTCTGTTAATAGAGTTGTTAGAACCGAAAATTCGGTTAATGACCAAGCTGATATTCTGTTATTGAAGAATCCTCTCAGATTTGATCTTCTGAATTTGATTCAAAAAAAACCTATCTCAAGGATTTTACTGCTGCTGCTGTTGAATTGCCAAACCTGAGTGGTTGAGATCCTGAAAATCCAACCTGCTGCCCACTATTCCGTTCCCAAAAGCCAGCCCTTAACTCAGTTGAGTTTGTTGAGTTTTTATAGGTGGATAAGAGGTTGTAACTGCCCTCTAAATCCGCTCCTAAGTGGGCGTGATTTCCTCAGATCGTGGGGAAACAGTTCTGAAACCGTTCAGCTCGTATTTGAACGAGTCAAACGCCCAATCTGGCGTTTAGCACCCAACGTCGCCTCTCAGAATTGAGACGCGAGGTTGGGTATTAGCTGAACACCAATGAACGCGAGGGTCACTCGCGTTTGGTTTATTATAGTTTGGAAACGCGAGGGTCGGTGTTGGTTGAACCCCTACGAACACGAGGGTCGCTCACGTTTAGCTTGTGCTTGGAAACGCGGGGGTCGCCTGCACTTCCAGAATTGTAACGCGGGGATAACATCCGCATTTTAGAAGGAGCTAGTTGACTTGTAACTTCTTCTGTAAAGCGTTGTAAGGACCGTTGTTCAGTAATCCTAGCTTTAGCTGTTGTGGAGTGTGAAAGTCATCAGATTGTAACTTTCACTGCAGAAGGTGAAGACTGCTGAATAGAGTTTTCATCAGTTGTTGAAAGTGTCGTTGAATTGTAACTCTTCTCGATCTCTGTGAAAAGTCCTCCATTTGCAGCTTTCGATTGTCGGTGCGAAAGCTATTTGATTGTAGCTTTCGTTGTAGGAACTTGATGGGAATCAACATCCATAGTGTTTTTAGATGAATATTTACCTACAACTCTCTACCAAGCAACTCACCAACTACGTCCAACCTTTTATTTCTGAAATCATTACACTGCTCATCAGCATCTCTAATAGTTGCTAATATAATATTAGTCATGTTGTTATCGCAACCATCAAAATCAATCATCTCAGAAATGAGGCCGTGTTTGTAGCGATTGTAGAATTACGAATACAGTGGTTAGAAAGTCGTCTGATTGTGTCTTCCATTGTCGGAGCTTGATAGGGATCAGCTATCCATTGTGATTTTTAGACAGCCTACAGAACCCCCTCCAAAGTTTTTGAAAGTTCGCGGTTGACTAGGACGAATTTTTGGAATACTTTGGATCCCAAAATTTAGTGGATTAACTGCTCACTCTGTCTGATCAAGCCAGATGATTTCAATGTAATCTATCTGTACTTTTCCAATAGACTCCCTAGTGGAGTCGTTTGTTTCTTCTCAGCTTTGGTCGCCTTGATGATTGCTGTTAGCTCTTCTTTTATTCATCTGGGGGCTATGTCGTAGCCTTGGCAGTCAAGAAGCTGCTATCATAGCGGTCCAAATATAGAGATAATTTCTGCATTTGAGAGTTGGAACGCGTGGGTGAGCTCAGCGTTGGGAATTCGAACGCGTGGTTGAGCCTCGCATTTGGAAGCCCAAACAACTCGAACGCTAGGGTCGAGTTTGGGCGGGATTCTGGCCTCGAATCCCATCCGTTACGATTTGATAGCTCACAGCTGTCTATAAATAGACCGCTGGAGGTCAAATCAAGAGTCATTCGACTCTTCTTGCAATTCTAACGAAAAATTTTCGTTCTCATCTCCGGCGAAAACTGTTCTTCTCCTCCGATAAAACTCGATGGCACCCAAGAAATTGGTCTCTCGTCCTCCCAAGTCCAACGTCGCTGCGGCTCAAGGATCGGCACCGTCAGCGCCGGCCGGCGGCGCTGCTGCTCAGGCGAACGTGCCACCCCGTCAGCGCCGGCCGGCGGCGCTGCTGCTCAGGCGAACGTGCCACCCCAACTTCCATTGATCGGCAGTGAGTACGACCTTCGTGGTCATGAAACTCGCTTCGGCAAGTTCTGGTCTTTAGATCAACGAGAAAACTCGTTTCAATAACGCGGGGCTGGACCCCGTCGTTTGGCATTTTTGACGAGGGGTTTGACCTCCGCGTCTCAGATTTTTGACGCGAGGGTCGACCTACGCGTCTCAGATTTTTGACGCGAGGGTCGACCTACGCGTCTGAATTTTCTGACGCGAGGTTCGACCTTCGCGTCTGAGATTTTTGACGCTAGGTTCGACCTTCGCGTCCAAGCTTATCTGACGCGGGAGTCGACCTTCACGTCTGAGTTTTGTTTTTGCCTTGTCTAAATTTTTTTTTATTTTGCAGTGCGCCACACCAGTGAACCCCTTCTTTTTCGCCACCATTTTGGGCATGAAGGTGGTGCGGACATGAACATGACCTTCAGCTCGCGTTTAGAACTCCCCGTTTTCCGAATTAGGGAGATGAACATGACCTTCAGCTCGCGTTTAGAACTCCCCGTTTTCCGAGTTAGGGAAAAGAGTCGCGTGGAACTGATCACCCAAGCTTCTCCTGAGACCCTTAGGACATTGGTTACGGATGCTCGACTTGAAACCCCAAGCCGTAAGCCGATAGTCAAACCTGGATACCTCTTCGGGGACTTTGTTGACTTCGAAGCAAGCGCTGCTTATGATGGGTACTATAAGTGGCTGCGGAAAGTTGGAGACCGCAACCTTTTCTTGCCCAATATGGAGAGGATGTTCCCCATATCTTATTTCCAGTGTGCTTCCATCCCAAGGCGTATGGATTGGCCTCTGGTTAAGGATCAGGACGGGGTCACTCTTGGCACTCTGACTTTTCACGGGGTCCGCACAGTTGGTTATAACCGGCAGGTGGCAGCTTTACGGTCGGGTTTATTCGCTAAGGAGTATCCCCTTGGCGAAGTGGCCAGTCCGGCAAATACCTTTGTCAAGAGGTTTGTGGCGAAGAAAGGAGAGTTTCCCGCGCAAGGATTTAGAACTCCTGGCTGGGTTCATTCTCCGGTGACAGGGTGGTGGACTCGGATGACCAAGTTCATTTTGGACGAATTGGAAGCACCTCTTGCTCGAGCTGGATTGCTGGTTCCTGTGCGGGCTACTAAGTTCGGGATTATCCAGAGCCACTTTCACTTCTTTTCCATACTGGAGAAGTATAATCCTAAGACTTGCACTTTCTTCACCACTATAGGGGAATTAGGCTTCGCTCTTCACGAGATGCACGAAGTCTCGGGTCTCATTCTTGGGGATTTGTCGTACGAAGAATTTGTTCCGGGATCCGCGGAACTTAAAATTTTAAAGAAAACCAGCCCTGAAATTTATGCCACTCTTTGGGAAGTCATGTGTCACTTCCACATTTGTATGCAGCAGACGGGGGCCCGAGGGAGCGGCATTAAACAAGTGTCTTGGGCGGAATATTTATTCCAGAACTTGACCACTAAAGGAGCCTCAGTGACCCGATTACCTGCAAGTACTTTGGAGGAGGTTCAGGCTCGAATTGACGATGCTACCTCCCACTACACCAATGAGGCCAAGGAAGATGTTTTCCCGGCTCACACGGAGTTTGAGAGTTTCCATTATCAAGCTCGGATTCCCATTTCTGACACGGCGTTGTTGGCTGGCTTCTTAATGTTGTGGCTCAAGCGTTGCGTCGTTCCTACTAGGCCGATTGATGCTCTCGCTGTTGAGGTGGTTTACCCGGCTGTCCTTTTAGCCCATGGGAGGCCTGTGAGCCTCCTCAATGCTATGGTGAGTTGTTTGCAGTATGGATTATGGGAGTTGGCCTCGGACTTCGTTGATATTACAGAGGTAGAGTCTGAGGGTCACAAGACTTTCAAAACTCCCAATCCCAGGGTGCCAATGCCATATACCTATTTGAAGGATTGGTACGTGCTTCACTGTCCTCCTTTGATGAGTGCAGCCTCTCCTCCGGGAGACTCATTCATCCTATTTGTGCAGCGACTAGAATCTGCGAAATGGGAAGGGGGGTACATGGTTAGAATTCGCCAAATTTTGGCGCGAGACACCCACTTTCATATCTTCCGCTGTTTCCCTGATTTTGAGGGCGGCGTTTACGGAGCCGAATATCAGGACGTAGCGGGTTCCAATGGATTCACTCAGCTAAGCGGGGGTGTTTTCCACTGGCTTCTCTCCATCAGGCCAGGCTACTTGATTTTCCGGCAAGGCGTCAACACTGGCTTCTCTCCATCAGGCCAGGCTACTTGATTTTCCGGCAAGGCGTCAACTGTTTCATCGAGCCCTGCCAACCCTATAGGTTTGCTCGTCAATTTGGGTATGATCAGTTGTACGTCGGAAACCCTTGTCCTCAACTCTCAATTATAGGCAATTTATATGAAGGAGCCAGGGCTTGGTACTATTCTGTGGCGGGTTGTACCAAAGCTATCTTCAGGCTTCCCCATAAAACACCCAACTCCTATACTTCCATAAGCTTCTGTAACTGGTATTTCGCCGCTTCTCAAACTCCCAATTACAACATGAATACGTCTTACCTAAAAGACATCAGGCATATGTATGCTTCAAGAAAGGGGTCCAAGACATCCCGCTTGAGAGGGATTGACGAGTTCCTATCCATTGAAAACCAGCCTGGTGGGCAGGAAGAGGAACAGACAGCTGAGCCTGCTCCAGGGGAAGAGCAACGAGTGGTTGATCCTCCCACAACAAGAGCAGCGGGGAAAAGAAAACTTTCTGCAGATGAAGCCGGCAAGTATGATAAGCAAATCCGTCGGAAACTGCTGGTTGATTCTCCCCCCAAAGGCCAACCAAAATCCAAGTTGATGGATGATGCCATCAAAGCTGCTGAAGATGAAGAACAACAGGAATCTTCTGTTGTAGGCCTGCCACGTAAAACTGGGCTTCGTTCTCATGGCCCAGCCCTATCGAGTGACGCTTCTTCTTATCATCCCCCTCAAGATGAAGAGGATGAGTTAATGGCTGCAGATGCAGAATCTGCTCCGGTGATGGACCTTCCTAAGTCTCCTGCATTAGAACCAGGGGGTCTTGAAGAGAATCCATCCCCTTCTCCTCCAGTCTTAATGTCACAAGTTGGTGATTTAATTCCTAGTCCTACAACGGGACTTATGAATAAACCAGCTGCTGGAACAGATCTTCCGGAACCTTCAGCGGCTCAGGATGATGAGGAGCGAGTTGATTATGAAGGCTCCTCGATTGGTGGTGCAGCTGACGAAGATAGAGACGATGAGGATGTTGACGTTGGCAACACGCCGGATGATGGTGAAGATGTTAGGAATCTTGACCCCAAGATTAGTTTGTTTTGATGATAACAAATATTATATGTTGTGTGTATTATGTGCTAACATTTGTTTTGCAGTATCAGAGCTATATCAATAATTATATTCAAAGAGATACTCAAGACATAGATGAGTTCAAGGCAAAATGAAGCAAAGAAGAAGATATACTTTATTGTCAAAATGTAATTTTATATTTTCTTTGCTTAGAAATTTGTACAAGCCTTGATCACTCACACACATGCACACACATAGTGTTAGAACACACTAACACATGCTTAGTGTGTTGGTTAACAATAGAAATCCCCTATGTTAGCCATTAGAGTTTATAGATATTGAGTGAGTCTTAAAACATTTCATTTACAACCCTTAGAAATTAGAATCTGGAAAAACTCAAAAGACCAAAGTTGTAGGTCTCTTCAAGAGCTTTCCAACAAATCTTAAATCACCTCATTCCGATATCGGATGAGAAAGTTATAGTCAAAATACTAAACAGAAAAATTCCAGAATCTGAGTTTACAGTGTAGTCGACTACTATGCCTTATAGTCGACTACTGAGCAATTTTCTGACTTCACAGAGTCTGTTTAGACTCAGTGTAGTCGACTACTATGACTTGTAGTCGACTACAAAAGCAGTTTTTCCAGATTTCAGGTTTAAAATAAGTGACTGTTTATAGCCGTTTTGTGGACGTTAATTGGGTTTAAAATTATGTCATTTCAGAGGCTATAAATAGGTTTAAACATCAGAAAACAACAACCAAGTTTTGCACTTGCAAGATCAAACATTTTGTGCATATTCACTCTCTAATTTTCCAGATTTTCATGCTAAGTGTTTAGAAAAAGAGAGTTTCTGATATTGCCTTGGTTTCAATCATTCTTAGAGATTGTATAGGCAATATTCAGAGAGTTAAAAGAATCCTAAGCCACTGCAGCACTTCACTACACATTCAAGGCTTATAGGATCAATTGTGTTCTTGCTTCAAAAAGGATTTCTCTCGGGTTTGAGAGGGTTGATCTCTTGGTTTAGAGATTGGGTGGCAATTGGCATGGTCTTGTCAATTGGTGTTGCAATTTGCATGGTCTTGCAAATTGGTCAGGTTTGCTTTTGATTTTGTAAGGTTTCAAAATCATAGTGGAAATCTCAAGCGGGATTTGCTTGGGGACTGGATGTACACCGGGTTGGTGGAACCAGTATAAAACTTTGTGTTTGTGATTGTGAATTTCTGAGTTTGCCATTTTTCTTTGCAATTTATTATCTACTTTGTATATATTATAATAGAACACTATTCACCCCCCCTCTAGTGTTCTAGTGTATCTATTTCAGATCCTACAGAAGATGATGAAGAGCATGATTCCATAGATGACATCACCACTTTTGATGATGCTCCCAAGGTCCCATCCGATAAAGTATCTGGCTATACTCCTTTTCACATCTCCGGTAAGCCTAGTTTTCTTCGACTTCTTCCGCATGTTCTTTCCGCGTTCCGACCTTTTTTTCATGCAGGTTCTCCTTCTCCAGGGACTACTGCTGCTACTACTTCAGAGCCAGAACCTGCGCAGATGTCGGATCCTTTAGAAGAACAACATTTACCTGGTTCTCCTACGACAATCGTTCCTCCTGCAGCATTGCTTGAAACTACTGCCGCAACTCCTCCTCCAGAACAGCAGCTCGTGTAGGCGTCAGCTCCTATGCAAGAGCAGCCCCTGCCTGCCTCATCCACTGTAGCTGCTTCACCTACAGCACTGATGAAGATCTCGCTTGTGCCCACAGAGGCCGGGCCAAGCGCGTCTCCGGTGAGGACAATGATGGCTTTGACTTCAAGTCCTTCGCAATTGAATGTTTCAGTTGCCTCCGCGACTTCTACACCCAAATCACTTGTTAATCCATACTTTAGCACGTCCACTTCTGGGGTCGTCGAGTCGTCTTCCATTGCTTTTTCCAGTCCAACGGACGCTCCTGACTTCCTCCATATTTCCTTGAGCTACTTAAACAGTCTCGTGAGGAAGGTAATCGAGGTTGTCATAGCTGGTCGAGGCCGCTTTGATTCTTTTAAGTATCTCTTAGAAGCGGGCTTAAATGGGGTCAAAAGTGTGGGCAATGCCCATTGCTTTGAACGTTGTTCAGAAGCTATTTCCCACTTGGAAGCCCGGCTCAAACATTTGGAAGCCCTCAGCCACACAGACATTCAGACACAGATCGTGTCTACTTTTGCTGACCTCCAAGTTGAAGAAGTGACTCGCCGTGAGGCGATTGAGCGAAGTCTGGCTGAAAAAGAGCTTCAAGTCACGCATTTGCGAGAACAGAGCGATCTGAAACAAAAAGAACTGGAGCTCTCTACTGCTTCTTTGGATCTTATCCGTACAAAACTTGTCGAAGCTGAGGCGGAGGTACTGAGATTGAAGGCCCAGCTATCTCGCGAAGAAGCTGTTGTTAACATACTTGGGTCCAAAAATGCAGACACTCTTTTGAATTACCATAAGGAAGCTCAGGCTCTTGAAAAAGCGAAGGAGGAGGCAGCCGCTGAAGTGGCACTTACTGAAGATGATCTACGTAGGAAGGCTGAAGCCGTTGTACGAGCCAGTCATGAGGAAAAGCTCTCTGATGCCAAAGCTCAACTTGCTTCTTTTGACTTGACCTTGTACTATTCTTTTTCTTAAGAACAGCTTTGTATCACTTTCTTTTGGTTTCTGAATAAAAAGTGATATTGACTTCTCATTGTTTCTTGCATTTATCATGTTTTGATTTTTAGTAACAAATCATGAGAAATGCCTGAGACATATTCCTGACTTAGAATAGATCTCCTCAATGGTTATAGCACAGAAAACTCTCTTCATTATCGTTTAAGATAACTCCAGAAAGTTTCAAACTGCTAAGGATTAATATTTTATTATTTTCCCATAATGGGGTCGACTAGTAGAATTCTTCCTGTGTTATTTCTGCTTTGATCACTGAAAGAACTTCATGAGTGCCAGAGGTATAGTTTTAACTTGGCAGGGGGATTATTGCGATCGGGGCAATTTTGACGACTGCCAGAGGTATAGTTTTAACTTGGCAGGGGGATTATTGCGATCGGGGCAATTTTGACGACTTACCGTTCTATTGACGAGAATCGATAAGTTGATTTTGTCAGAGGTGTGATTTTAACGTGACAGGAGAAATATTGCGATCAGGGCAATTTTGAGGACTTATCGTTCTATTGACGAGAATCGATAAGTTGATTTTGGGGTATGGTATTAGCCCGATGAGAATTTAGATTCTGCTTAAGAGATACAGAGGTTTTGATCAACACTCCGTTAAGCGGGTTCACAAGTGCAGGTTCTTCATTTAGAAGAATTGTAACGCTGAGGTGACATTCGCGTTTGATGTTTGAAACGCGAGGTTCGGGCCTTCGTGACGCTGGCTCGAGCTTTGCATTTGGGAAACTGAACGCGATATTGAGCTTCGCATTTCAAAGATGGTTGGGATTCTCTCCTAGAATCCCGTGCCATCTTAACAGCTTGACGGCTGTTATAAATAGACCTGAGTGGTCACGTTAAGAGTCACTTGACTCTCAAAACTCTTCGGCTATTTCCGAGAACGAGAATTCTCGTTTGATTACGGCAAGATCTCCGACAAACTTCGTCTCTCTCGTTCAAAAGAATTTCCTCCGATCAACTGCATCAATGGCGCCTCGGAGAACGAGCTCTAACTCCAAGAAAGTCGCCGGAGCGACCTTCGAGATGCCGTCGGCTGAGGACGCCGGCGGTGTCCTTGCCCATGCGGGAACTTTGCCGTCGACATCGCCGCCGCAGGGGCCTCCTTGTCGTGGTGAGTGCTGACCGAAATAACTTGCCTTGGCAAGTTCTTTGACAACTCTAGATGGGTTCTCGATAACGAGGAAGATGACTCATTTTAACTCAATGAAAACGCGGGGTTGGGATCCCATGTGGGTCTCGACCCTCGCGTTCAAGTTTTTCAACACGAGGCTGACTCTCGCGTTTGAGGCTTCTAACGCGAGGTTCGACCTTCGCGTTGAAGATTTTGACACGAGACTTTAACCCTTTGTGTTTCAGCCTCTGTCTTTATGTCGATAGTTCGCTTCTAGCTGCTAACCTTTGCTTTTGATTGTGCAGTGCTTCTCCTAAACGTGTCGCTTTCGCAAGAGCATCATTTTGGATACATCGGTGGACCTGACGCGAATGAAATATTCAGTCTTCAGAGCAGAATTCCATTGTGTACTTTCCCTGATTCGGAAAGAGCGAAAATGATTAAATTCCCTCGATGCTCTACTCTCCGGATTCTGATAACTGACTTAGACTTGGAGACCCCTGTCGGTCATGCTCATTTTCCTAAACCAGCATTCATATTTGGAGACCTTATACCAGTCGATAATCATCTTACATATGTGGAAGATTCAAAGCTACTGTGGAGAGTTGATAATCAATTCTTATTCCTCCCAAATATGAAGAGGATGTATCCACTCTCTTATTTCTTAAATGTGAGCTGTCGTCGGGGTTTGACCTTCGACATAGTCAAAGAGAAAGAGAACGTGTCGCTTGGATTGGTCGGCGGGCTCGTACGCAAATCGGGGGACAACTCAAGGGGTTGAAGCCCGGTTTATTTAAGAAGAAGGATTCGATTCAGGAGATGCCACGCCTCGAACATTTTCATTCGTCAATTTATTGCAGCTCGGGGTGAATTCTCTACCCAAACATTTAGATCCCCTGGATGGGTCTGTTCTGGAGAAGGAGGTTGGTGGACCCGTATGGTTGACTTTGTTCTTGAGGAGCTTAAGGAATCGCTCACTCAATTGGGTCTCACAATTCCAGTATTAGCTGTCGACGGGGAGTTGTGCAAAGTTTCCACGATTTCTTTGCTATGTTGGAGAAATATAACCCGGACAGCTGCACATTTTTCACACCTGCAGGAGAGTTAGGTTTTGCTCTTCATGAGATGCAGGCAGTGTCAGGGCTGCCGCTTGGAAAAACACCCTACGAGGAGTTTATCCCCACCACCGAGGAGCTTTCCTTACTGCAGGTGGCGCACCCGGAAATTTATGCTACTTTCTGGGAATTGATGTACCACTTCCACATATGTGCCCAAGTCTTTGGGATACGTGAAGGGGGCATTATGCATACCACATGGGCGGAATACCTCTTTCAAAATTTAAACCGGAAAGATGTAGCCGTATCTCGGGTTGCTGTGATCTCTCGTAAGGATGCCAAAGCTCGAATTACAGCTTCCAGTGCTACCTATAAGACAGAGCATGCCAAGGATGATTTTGAAGCTGGCGTCGAATTTGAAGGTTTCCATTACCAAGCCTCAGTTCCTATCTCTGACACGGCTCTACTTGCGGGCTTCTTCATGATTTGGTTAAAGCGGTGCGTAGTACCGTCAAGACCAATAGAGGCAATATTAGCTGAGGTTGTGTACCCAGCTGTTTTGCTAGCGCACGGGAGACCTGTGAGTCTCCTTACTACTATGGTTGGCTGTATTCAGAACGGCCTGAGGGTGTTGACTTCAGAACTTCTCAGTGCTTCGGGGATTAAAGCTACTAAGAAGAAAGCTGGGAAATCTCCTCAACCACGTGTACCAGTGCTGTATACATATTTAGTGGCCTGGTTCGTGTTGCCTTGCCCTTCGTTGATGATGGGAGTATACGAGGGTGATGATGCTTATACTCCCTTCGTACAGAGATTGGAGTCGGCCATGTGGACTAGTTCTTATATAGTCAGGGCTCGACAGCTTCTATCCCGGGAAGACAATTATCGGGTTTTCTGCTGCGCTCCTAATTTTGACGGAGCTGACGTGGAGGATGCCCGTTTCATGGACTTGCTTTTTGAGGGCTCGTCTTCTCTGGAAGAAGGCACATTTAACTGGCTTCTTATGATCAGACTGGGCTACCTGGTCTACCGCTTGCGGGAGAAGTGCATAATCGAGCCTTACATGCCTTCTCGGTTCGCCGGACAGTTTGGATATGATCAACTCTATGTTGGCAATCCTAACCCGGTGTTAGCTCAGATTGGGAATTTGTACGAAGGAGCTCGTGCATGGTACTTCTTCTCCGTCGGGGGAACCCATGCGCAATTCACCTTACCCAACTCACCGCCTGGCTGCTCTACTGTTATGGATTTCCGCCAGTGGTTTGCTGAAGTTTCTCAGATCCCGGAATATGATGTTTATACTTCATGTATAAACGAGATTCGGGAATTGTATCGTTCGAGGAGCGGTTCTACGAGTACTCATCTGCCAGGGATGGAAGAGTACCTATCTTGCGAACATGAAGCGACCGGAGTCGTTAAAGCTCCTAGGGACTTGTCCACTATATAACCTTCTGAGGAAGAGGTTCCTATGAGGATCGTAGAGGGAAGACCAATTGCTGATTCTCCTGAAGAAAAGACAACTGAGGAGATTCCTGCAGAAGAGCCTGTTCCTAAACCTCGTTCTTTAAGATCGGGTAAGAAGGCTCTTTCTGCTGCTGAGCAAGGCGAATACGACAGGAGAATTCGTAAGCGAATACCTGTCATGGCCAAAAATTCCAAAAAGGCCAAGTTAATGGGAGATGCGATGAAATCTGCGCCTGTTAGGAGTTTCACTGATCGAGAGGACGAAATGCCCCAATCAACCCCTTCTATTCCTGAGGACGCTAGAGCTGGAGAGGCATCGCCCGTTGAGGGTTCTGAATCCGCTCCTCTTT